TGTAAGACCATTGTCGATGGATTAGGTGCTAACATGCTAGTTTAAGTTGGCTTGCAGTGATGATCTTTTTCTTTGATTGAAGTTTCCATGATCTGTCATTTCAAATGTTTTGCAGTATGCCAATTTTTATAGTTACAAAATGACTAATGTTCCCAACTTTGTAATAGAGAAATATCATAACTGGGTTTAATCATCATCTAGAACCTGTTGTATAGGTAAGTGGCTGAAACTGTAACTATGCTATAGGCACAGGTAACCTCTAACAGTGTACCTATGGTGCAAGTACTTTACACAATGGCTTGATATGGCGCTTCACAGAGAACCTAGCCTACAGGTAACTTGCGAAAGTGTACCTATGACATAGGTATTTGACACATTGCTTGGGATTATCTTCTTCGAAGTTTGGCATATACCTGTGACCTAGGTACTGTGTTGGCAATTACCTATATGACAGGAGCTTACCTATACGACAGGTTGTAAACCCAGAACAAGAGTGAGAGTATAACTGTTGGATAGTGTGCAAATGAACAGATTAAGTCTGTTTATATATGAGCAAAAATTCTCCAATAAATATGCAACAAAAACATTCTCCATAATTGATTGTGGAATATATGACTTTTGCGATTCTTTCTATTCTTGGTGTCTGAGGATTGTTTAACGCGATTTTTGATATTTTGCTATCTTTTAGGTTACCTGATTTTTATCTTAGGGGCAAAATTGGAAGCAAAACATAAATTAAAAAAAATTAAGAAAATAAAATATAAACCTTAGAAATTAAAAAAAAAAGGTAAGTAATTCTACATGACACAAAAGTCAGAAGACTTGAATTACTAACAACAAATGTGGGAATTGCACCCAAATTCTGTCATAAAAATTGGACTTATACCGAATTTTCTAATATTTGATACGTATACAAGCAGTGGCGGATCCAAGATTCAAAAGTCAGGTAGGCGAAACTTATCTTAAAAACTCGACGGTACGAGTGAATTTTATTCATAAAAATAAAAAGATACACCTAGTCATGAGGGACGTAATGAGCCTTACCCTCTATAAATAAATAAAAGCTTAACCAAAAAAAAAACAAGAAGTAAATGCAATGCAACACAAAAACTAAACTATTTTAATCTAAAATTGTACCTTACGAGGCTTAGAAATCTTAAATTCCTCAATTATCTCTTCATTATCGATACTATTAGCAAACTCTCTTTCAATGTGGAGAATCATGCAATCAGCAAGGAATTCATCAGCTATGGTGCTTCGAAGTCTATTCTTAATAATTCTCATACATGAAAAAGCTCGTTACGTTGTTGTTGTAGAAACAGGAAGAGTCAACACCAACTAAATCAACCTATAAAGCAAATGGTAGTTTTTTGCCAAAGCTGTTTCCACCAATTGTTGACATAATTGAGGAAGAGTGGTGAGGTCCTTAAAGTAGGGAAGGCGATGCATATCATTTTGAAAATACCTCAACTCAATTTCCAAACCTTTTAAGTCACTTGGATTGAAATCAGCAGGATAGAATTTCTCAACAAGTTTACATAGATGCCCAATATTGAATGATTTGAAGGAATTACGAGGATCCAATGCTGAGCTAAGAATAAGAAGTTCAACTGTTTGCTCTGGAAATCTGTCATTTAACTCCCTCAACGTGCAATCTATCACATCATTAAATACATAAATGTGATAGTAATGTTCAACTGTAATAAAATCTTTTTGTTGACAAGAACGACGTGTGCCCATCATATAACAAGAATCAGGAACATCAATACCATGTTGTTCACAAAATGATACCACACTCATGAATAAATCATCCCAGCCATGTGCCCTCATATCTTGGAACTGTGATTTTGTGTTTTCAACAAAGTTTAAAGCACTTACAATATCTTGAGTTTTTTTTTCTGAAACACTTGACAGAGAAAGTTGGTCAATCCCATAATTTTATCTATCAAAAGCAATGCAAACACAAACTCAAAAGACATCATAGTAATATAGTTACTCTCTGCATCACCACGAAATTGTTGGTTAGGTTCATGTTTACTGATTTCCTGAAGAAGTATTTTAGTCTCTTTAAATAAACTCATTAAACTTGTAATATAAACAAAGTGAGATCCCCAACAAGTGGCTCCAGCTCGTTTCAAACTACGACCTTGATTAAGTCATCTACCTGTCTCAAGTTCCCCAGAATCCAAAAACTCTTTGAGTTCAGCTTTTCGAATTAAATTTAACTCATTACGGCGCTTAGCAGAAGCACTAACAAAATTCACAATATTAGTCAACATTGAAAAAAATCTCTATACAACATTCACATCTTTAGCCGCACCATTTAATGCTAATTGCAAGCGATGAGCAAAGCAATGCACATAATATGCATATGGACAATCTTGAAAAAACAATGCTTGTAATCCATTCCATGAACCACGTATATTACTAGCACCATCATACCCTTGGTCACACATGTTTTCCACTAGAATGCTGTTATTATCAAGCACTTTGCATATCTCTTGTTTAAGAGTCAAGGCATTAGTGTCTACGACACTCACAATATCAAAAAAGCGTTAACGAATAAATCCATCACAATCAACAAATCTTATAATAATAGCCATTTGTTCCTTGTCTGATTCATCAAGTGATTCATCAACAAGAATACAATATTTGTTCTTCCCAAGTTCGGTAAAAAATTTCTTCTTCACCTTGGTAGCAAAAATATGCAAGATCTGTTTTTATATATCATCGGCAATATACTGAGCATTATGAGGAGCCTTATCTACAACAACTTTCTCAACTTCTATATTCATTCTTGCAAAAGACTTTAAGATTTCAATGAAATTGCCCCGGTTAGATGAGTCAACGGATTCATCATGACCTCGAAAAGCCAATGCTTGATTTGCTAGATATCGAATGCCCTCTATTGTGATTGTAAGTCGCAACCGATTGTCCATCACTTGTTGCTTTGATTGCTTATTTACCACATTTTCAATATGAAGAGATGGGTTTTTTAAGCTAACCCACTTTTGCACAACAAGATGATGTGGAGAATTTAGCTTGCCTACATGACTTTGAAATACACATTAATTACCACCAATTCTCTTCCAATTTTAAAATCCATGAATAGTAAAGGTTGAATGTGAATGATTCATTTCAAATAGGAAGCAAGGAAAACAAAATGCCAAATCTTTAGCAATTGAATACTCAAGCCAAGGGAATTTACCAAACCACAATTTATTAAATCAACGTAAGTCTCGCCCTTCTAAATGGCTTGGATAGTCTTCTAACTCCGGTTGACAATGTCCTAAAATAATATAGGCTTTTCGCATATTATCTTGTTCATTCACCGAATATTGGCATATTTTACGACATAATCCCGGATCACGCTCAAGATAATTGATATTAAAATCTTGACCACTATCAACTCTTTGAGTCTCAACTCTTTCAACTTGAGGCTCGACAATGGGAGAAGAGAGAAGATTTGGCTCATCACAAATGTGAGGCATTCTAGAAGATGATGACCCATCATTTTTTTTCTTAAAAAAAGAGAACAAATTTTTTGTTTTCTTGGGGTTTCGATTGTGATCCGACATAATAAAAGATAACCTATTTAATCAAACATTCCAACAAAAAATCAAACAATTTCTCATAATAGCATCAATGAATTTAATCAAACATTAATATACCAACAACAAATCAAACATCTCAACAATGCCAACATCTCAACAAAATTCTTAAAATCAAAGACCTAATTAATTTCAACAAAATCCCCAAATTATATTTCATTCCTAATTAAACCCTAGAAAACTCAATTTCAAATTAAAATTAAAACTAAGATGCATACATTTAGTTTAGGAATAACTCAATAGAAGAAGATAATTAAAGAGAAGAGATTAAGAAGAATACTTGTTTCCTTGTATATGAGAAGAGAATGGGCTGTCCACGATTGCACAGCTTGACTATTGCACAACCAAGAATGTTGAGTTGAGAAGAAGCTGCTGACTCTGTCTGGAATTGCACAACCACTATTTGGCTGCTTATAATCCCCCTTTTATTAAAGTCTGACTGAGTCATGGATGCTGGCATGAACATGTGATGTTTTTTTTTTTTTTTTTTTTTTTTTTTTTTTTTTTAAGTTGGTGGCTTTAACACATGTGGTGTGGGTTTTATATAGGCTGAATAGACAAGGGTTTATACCATCACATGTAATGAGTATCAATTACTTTGCTTATATATAGGTTTTTTTTTAGTGAAATTTTTTGGGTAGGGGGCTGTAGGACCGCCTATGTGTACAAGCCAAAATAGTAGCTACATTTCCGAGTTACCAGAAAAAGAAAAAAATAATGATCACTCCCAAAAATACTATAAAAATACGTTCAGTCCAAACAGAAAAATCAATCAATCGAGAAACAGCTTTTGCTGAAACGAATGGACCCACCTGGTGGGCCCTGCTTTTCCTTATGACAATGACATGTGTTTGGTTAGTTGGCCCAACTCCAGTCAGTGAGACCAAGCCGCGCAAATAAAGCCCAATTATAATCGAACCGGTAACGGAAACAGAAACGGACGTTTGTCAACGAACAGAAAGGAAGAGTCAAGTCAATAATGGAGTTCCAAAGGAAACATTAAAAAGTCTGTATCTGTAGAATTTTCGTTAACGGAAGGTCACGAGTCCATTAAATTTCCGCAGGTCGGCAGACCAACTTATCTCTGTTTCTCAACTGCCTTCATTTAAAGTCCATCTCTCTCGCTCTCTCTCTCTCCCTCTCTTGATATTTATTATGAATTTCGAAAGCTGGGTTTTGTCGTAGGAAGTGGGAAGAAAAGGAACGGAGGTTGCTTGAACATAACAACAAAGAATTTTTGGTATAAAAAAAAGAAAAAAAAAGAAGAAGAATTATGGAGTCATCCAATGGGAAAGAGAGTGTGATGAGCATGGAAGTAAATGAGGGGATGGAATAAATGAGGGGATCGAAGAATCAAACTTTGAAAGCAATGAGATTGAGAGGAACAAGATGGGCATCATGAGAGCTCTTGTGGAAAGGGAAGATCCCTCCTCCAAGGTTGGAATTGGATAACTCTTCCCACTCTCTCTCTCTCTCTCTCTCTCTCTGCCCTTTCCTCTTTTCCTGTTTGTCACTTTACTTTTGTTGGCAATTCTTTGATTAGAAATTATTCTAAATTTGGTCTCACTTTTTCCTAACAACTTGCTTTGCTTAGCCTTCATCTTCTATCTAATGATACTACTAGCTTAGATTGTTAAAGCTAAAATGGTTGTGATTTCAGATGATAATGATTAGGGTGATTGAGCATGTATGGTTAATTGGTTTGGTAGGAGATGAAGCTGGTTTCAATTGAACTGTTTTGTGCTCAAACTGCTGATGGATATTAATGTTGATATGTCAAGGAAAATTAATTAACTTGTCCTTTCTATATACACAATCTCTTTTTATAACAAAAATTAGTGTTTAATTTAAACTTTTGCATACCCAATTTCAAGATTGGCTACGTTGTTCTCATACTTGCATGATGCTGGTATGCTATGCAGGACGTGGATGATTTCATGATCCGGAGATTTCTGCGGGCGCGTGATCTGGATATTGAGAAGGCTTCTAACCTGTTCCTCAAGTATCTGAGTTGGAGGAAGTCATTTGTGCCAAATGGTTCCATCTCAGAGTCAGAGGTTCCGAGAGAGCTTGCTCATAACAAGCTGTTTATGCAAGGTCTGGACAAGACGGGACGCCCCATCGTCGTTGTTTTTGGTGGGAGGCATAAGCGCACCAAACTAGAGGAGTTCAAACGTAAGGGCTGCTATTCTAATGAAACCAGAAAACTTCTTGCATTCAGTTTAAAATTTGACCGTTTCCTTTTGCAGGTTTTGTAGTCTATAGCCTTGACAAAATAAGTGCCAGGTAACTCACATGTTAGTTATGGCAGTTGATATTTGGTACTTCAGTCAGTTGAACATGATAGTTTTAAGGGGTTATCGATATTTTAGAATGTGCCCTGAATAATTGTAGCCATGTCATGTGCTCTATGTTATGTTTATCTTTCAGAATGCCAGCAGGCAAGGAAAAGTTTGTATCCATTGCAGATCTTGAAGGATGGGGATACGTCAATAGCGACATTCGTGGATACTTAGCAGCTCTGTCGATCTTGCAGGTTCGACTTTCCTCTTTACATTCCATCAAACAAGTTTTCCAAATGATTGTCTTTGATCGTTTTAACGTCACTCAGACTAGGTAATAATAGATACTTGTTTTCTTGGACAGGATTGCTACCCAGAAAGGCTTGGCAAGTTATATCTTGTTCATGTGCCTTACGTTTTCATGACGGCATGGAAGATGGTTTACCCATTTATTGACAACAAAACCAAGAAGAAGGTAAAAGTACTTCTTTACCAGGAAAAAGAGGGTCATCTGCACATCTTGCTACTTTTATACTGCTAACAACTACCAAGTGATCGTTTAGTTTAACTCAATCATCTGTTTACCGTATAATCTTGCAGATAGTTTTTGTTGAGAACAAAAAACTGAGCTCCACCCTGCTCAGTGATATTGATGAGAGCCAACTCCCAGATACATATGGAGGCAAATTGCCGTTAGTTCCTATCCAAGACTGCTAGCTTTTTGGCTCAACTCTAGGCACTGGCCGATTGATATTGGTTAAAGGCGGCTCTCAGATACGTATGGATGCAAGCTCTCATTACTTCCTATCCAAGATTGCTTTGCCTCTTATGTTCTCCTACTTACAGGCACAACCTGATAATTAGAGTTTACAAAACAACCATCTATATTCTGCCCCATTGGGCATATGCCAATTGCAGGGGTCATATTTTGTTCTAACATTTGGAGTTCCAGCTACTTTTCTACCGCTTAGCATGTTATCTGTATTAAATTCTTATAGTTCAATTGCCCACATTATTGGACCTTCGTCCACAAATCTGCAAGGCAAATGCAAAATGTGCTACTTGTTAACAAAGTTTCTGGAACATTTCATCTGGCATTGCAAGATATTGAGATGGAATTCATCTTGCTTTTGAGTAATTTGATGGCTCCAAATAATTGCAGGGCCAGCCGTATCCTGCCAAACTATAGCCAAATTGAAGAAAATTTGCACTCATTTTAGGTAGCACATAGGTCGGTAGTTTTGGGGCTTGTGTAGGAGCAACGTGTATCATGGACATCCATAAATTCATGATGGATCTCTAAGATATAGTTTAATTGTGTCCCCTAGTCAACTATGCTTTCAAAAGCAAACCGTATACTCAAGCTTCAATTATTCAATTGAATCAACTGAAGTACCATGAAACTCAACATAGTAAACAAAAATGTAATCGTATTATTCAAGACATCGGAACTCCAACCAGTACCGATTGCAGGTACAAAATCCAAATATGTAAACCATGACTAGAATAAAAATTGAAGTTTGCAAACATCACATTCCCTGATGTAGAGGAAGCTATGAATTATGAGACCTCGCGTAAAAATGATGCACCTGAAAAAATTAAAACTGCCCAGCAATGCTCATCCAACCAGCAGCTTGTTCTCGCTCAAAAAACTGTAAGTGGGTACCTCTAGATTGTATGGTGCAGGTCCCTTGCGGATCCTGCCAGAAATGTCGTAGTGCGAACCATGGCATGGGCAAAACCAACCACCAAAATCACCAGCATTTGGCAAGGGGATGCATCCTAAGTGAGTGCAGACCCCAACAACAACAAGCCATTCTGGATTCTTAACCCTCTCTGCATCCTGTTGGGGGTCACGAAGGGACTGAACATCTACACTATTAGCCAACTTGATGTCATCTTCTGTCCTGCGCCTAATAAAAACAGGCTTCCCTCTCCACTTCACAGTAACAGTAGTACCAGGCTCAATGCTGGACAGATCAACCTCAAGGGAAGCAAGGGCAAGGACATCTTTGCTGGCAGACATGCTCAGTACAAACTTGAGGACCAGAAGCCGAATCAAGGAGGCATACACAAATCTGCCACCTGTCAAGATGAAATAAGCAAATGCCCGCTTGCTGGGGTCACCAGGTGGATATCTTTCATGGTTGTACTCATCATATACAATTTTTGAAGAAGGATTCTTCACAGCTGCCACAGTAGCTGGGATTTCTGAGATAAGACCAATATCATGTCCAGGAGCAAGGGCTTCAGAGGAAAATCCTGAAATGAGGAACCAACCTTTCAACAAACAAGTTCCATAGAAAATTGAATCTCATGCAAATAAGTTTCAAGACTAACATGTGAAGAAACATCACATTTTCCCATCTGCACATGAGACAGGCACATCGGCAAGGCATTTTCCAATCAAATAACTAACTAAAGGCATCTATCAAGAAACAAAGATAGCTAGAGTATAACATAACCTAACTATCAACCCCAGCCAAAAGAGTGCAAAGCATATGAAATATCCGTATAGTACAGAAACTAAACGCAAGTTAATAACCCTGAACAGAAGCTACCGCCTACATTTTTTCAAAAATTCGTCGGACCTATCTAGATATCCAGCAACTAACAATTTAAACAAACGCCACGTGCACCCAGGTCTTGATATTGTGTCAGGGTATCAACTGAGCTTGTGTAGTTAACCATAGTCCTTAACGAAATGAGATTTGTTATAATCAAAGAGTTAACGACAGTTTTTCCAGAATCCAGACAATGCACAAAAACAAACAAAGGATTCACAAATAGACTGATTTTTCTGTCCTTTCATTATCGCGGATTTCTTTCAATCTCAATAAATGAGGCACAAATTTACTAAGAAGGATTCAAAGCACAAAATTGATTCAGCAATAGAATACCAAAGCAAGTATCAAAATCAAATTAAAAACACATCGATCTGGAGCAAGCACAAACGCTATGCTTTAACAAATCATAAAATCCCAGGTCGAGTGACATGTCACATACTCAATTAAAACTGTGAAATGCCCATTTCGATTTGACCAAAGATCCTACTTCGGAAATATTGGATTGAAAATGACAATGAAAATAAGCAAAAATTAGAGAAATGAAGATTACATAAGCATTATGAACCAATTTCAATTTCTGAATCTAAAAAATTAGAATCCTGACCGGATGGAACAAGTAGCCCTACACAATAAAAGCAATCAATTGTAAAAGAAAAAAAAACCCTAAATAAATCTGAAGCAGAAGGTGGGGGATTAGGGCAGACCTCTGATTAGAGATGGAAAATGGGAATGGAAGAAAAATTGATTGGGGGATCTGGAAGGGCCATCGGAGGAAGAGTCGTCGTTGTTATTGAAAAGCGGATGAGATCCAGCAACAAAGGCTGGGGTTGTCTGCGACGACCTCCAAGCCACTGCAGAAGATGAAAGCCTTCTTCCCGCGACTCTCAGCATCTTCTTCTCCTTCTTCCTGCTATCGCTATGGCCTCAACCTCTCGACACACGAACAAAATAGCCTACTTCTGTTTTTCTTTTATTTATTTTTCTGTTGGTTACAGCGAACAAAGCTATATTTGACCGTAGCAAAGTCCAACTCCAATAACAAATAAAGATTGGACCAAAATTCGCAACTCCAGGTGCCAGGTGTTACGACGCCGTTTCATTGACGACAGCTCGCAGTCCATAATACAAAGACAATTTTATTCGGTGAAAAAAGAAAAAATTGGGATTAATGGTGCGGGAATATTAATAATTAGGATGAATAATATGGTTTGTCTTTTAAAATTTTTAAAAAGGAATGAGATTCGAACACGAACCTCCATTTTTTTTTTAAGGTCTGAAATTTGTTTTTGGTCCGAACACAAACCTCTTTGTTCGAAACCTCTTCCTGGGTTTGAAATTTTTATTTTGGTCATTATGATCTCCCAATTATTTTCTCTCATGTGCCAAGAGATGAGTAATGCTAATGACAATAAAATTGTGCACCAAAATATAGTCCAAAAACACATGTCAAACAATGCTTCCGGAGTAAATAAACGACTACAAATTTACTTGCTCAAGCACATTCAGGCTGAAGTCATACTTCTGTTATTGCACAACTTTGCATTGCAATAGTAAAAGTGCAAGAAAAAGAAACAGATGGATGCTACACACATTCAGAAAAAAGTATCTCCCCAATAAGTTGGTTGTGCTTCATCAACCTTGTAGGCTTTGTATAGTTTTAAAATTTCCGACTTAAAACTATAGTATGTGTATCCTAGTAGTGTTAAAACCACCCTAGATCTACTCATCCGCAGATGCAGAAGAATGATGGGGAAAAGTCGCCCACACATCGGCCCAACTCCTTAGTCCCTCGGTTACCTCCTTCACAACAGATGCTGCTTCCTTCACATCAACACGGATTTGATCCTTGCTGTCTCTCTCTCTGATTGTCACAGACGATGTAGTATCAACCGTGATTGCAAAAGGTACACCCAGTTCATCAGTTCGTGCATAACGTTTCCCGATTGAGGTACCTGATCAAACAAACAATCACAGTCAGAAACTCAAATACTGATTGGTAATTTAGTGGAACAATACAAAACAGGATATACTTAAGCTACAATGGGGAATTAAACCGAGATAAATCTCTCGTTTACATACCTGTAATATCAATTTTATGAGATATGCCAGCAACAGTCAATGACTTGGAAATGTCTTTAGCAATATCCTCATACTTTTGATTTTGGACGAGTGGGAAAACCGTACACTTAATAGGTGCAACAATTGAGGGGAAAGCAAAAACATTTAACTGTTCATTCCCAGCTTTACTCGCCCGTGTGTAGTATGAATGCTCATAAAGACAATATATAATCCGCCCAATACCAAAAGAAGGCTCAATTACAGAGGGCGTGAATACTCTTTGGTGTTCTTTCTTTTTCTCCTTTGAAATTTTCACCATGTTCTTCTTGATAGATACATTTTTCCCTAGAGTGCAGACATAAAAATCCACCTCCCCTTTCGACTCTAAATCAGCTTTCAATGCAAAAGCTTCTTTTTCTTTCATGGACTGAAATGCATGAGGTAATACATCAACACAAAAACATATTTATTAAAAGTGAGAAGATGATAAACCAGAAGACAATATTCTATATTCACCTCCAAAGCTTCAACTACATTCTTTTGGCTCCCTTTGAAAGCAAGGCCAATCTCTTTCTTTACTGGAGATATAACCAATACCTGAAATTATATAACAAGTCAAAAATGGTAGACTGTTCGACGAAGTCAGGAAATCGTGTTTACTGACAGATAACATCAACGATGTACATGATCTGCATAAAACTTTACCTCTACTTCTCTAGGTTCTGGAAATTTTTCATGAGCCACAAGTGCTTCGCCACTTTTCTCCTGTCATAAAACAAGAAACAACACTTTTTAAAATATAGTTTTCTACACCAAAGCAGAATATACACTCTTCTCTCGTGATGGTACAACTGTTTCATTCTTAAAAATGAAGTTCTGAAATTGGCAAATAAAATACTACTGGACCAAAACACTACCAAATGAAACCAAAAATCAATCAATATACATTTAAAATGCTACCATATCAGCATAATGATCAATGAAAAAGCAGTCTACAGTTAAGCTTTTTAAATTAAAAATATCTAACAAGTCCTTACCGTATGAGCACGCAAGTCATATGCTGATCTATCAGCTATACCAACACACTCAATCCAGCCATAGGAACTCTCAATCTCAGCATCCCAACAATCAGCGGCATAGTGAGCCATTTCATTTGCAAGATGCTGGCGAAACCTCAATCGTTTCTTGTCTATACCTAAACGAGTGAGGAAAAGATACACTCTGCCAATGAAGTAGCCCAAAGTTTGATTGTTGACTATTCCCTAAATAATGTGAAATTGCACCATCAAACTAAGATATAGAAAACATATATAAACATAAAACAAGGTCAGATAAAAGTTGGCGGAACCCAACCTTAGCTACTGCTTCATCCAATCGAATTGCCTTTGCAGATTCGCCCGACATTTGTAATTCCCTTGGGAACATCAAAAACTCCAACTCTGCAACTTCTGAAAACTTTGGGTGAGATTTATCTTCAGGATCCACAAAGTGCTCAATCTCTGCTAGTGTGAATTCCCGAACTCTCAAAAGGCCTTGGCGAGGAGATATCTGCACATTATAATAACAAGTTAGGAATTGATTATGGATCACACAAGCTGGAAATTCCATGATGGCTTAACTTCAACGGGAAACAAGAAGACTGGGGACAAAAACCACTGGGCAATAACGGAGCATGACACAAGTTACATGACAATTTTATATATAAATATATATATATATTATTTGTAGGTATAGATGTAGTATTATTGTTTAATGATAAAGCTGATAAACCACACACAATTTTCGTGCCTTTCAGTCCCAATAAAGAGTGAAAGACTATATTGGTAAGAAGAATAAATAGTGAAAGACCATGTCTGTGAATGCCCTGAAAAAATCAAGCATGATCTTATTTCGAAATCACAGGGAAGGATTTATAACCTCGTTCCTAAAAGCCTGCCCAATTTGAGCTGCAGCAAATGGTAGCTTGTTGCCATTGTAATAATACAGGTCCTTAAAATTCACAAAGATGCCTTGTGCAGTTTCTGGACGCAAGTACCTGCAGAAAATGAGGTAACACATAAAATAAGAATGAGCAAGGCAAAATTCCATGGATATTGATACTAACATTACAGAAAAAGTTTTGATAATATGTTTATGTGTCTGAAATGCTCACCCAGGGATCAATCCAGATGGACCAATTGAAGTTTGAAACATTAAGTTGAATGGATAAGGATCGGATAAAGGATTCTTTGTGTCAGGGGATACAATCCCATACTCCTTTATCTTTGCACCTAGTTCTTCAGCTGAGAAGTCGTCTAACATTGCAAGTACATGTTTAAGCTCTTTGGCCTTCTCTGCAGCAATGTTGAGGTCCTTCTGGAGCTTATCATTACAAAAATCCTTGAGCAAGTGATCGGCCCGGTAGCAAGTCCCAGTTTTCTCGTCCTTAACCATAAGATCAGTGAACTTCTCGACATGTCCTGATGCCTTCAGAACCACCTCAGGTGTCACACAAGGACAGTCAACTTCCAGCATGTTCTCCTCGAGCACAAAATGCTGCAAGACGATAGAAAAAGGCTCAAATAATTGATTATGCATTCCTTTCCCTAAGCTGTGATGTTCTTCACACATACCTCCACCCATGCACTCATTTCTTCTTCTTCTTTTTTTACCCACAACCATTCTTGAATTTCAAAAGCTCGTTACCAATTCCTTATAAGTAAATTGTGAAAATAAATTACACATAATTTAAATCCCTTCCAGTTGGTAAAAAAAAACTCCCATGCAGACTCCCATAAGCAGATTATTGAATTAACAACTTAAACACGAACTAGTCTAGAGTTTTCATCCAATCGAAACAATCAAAAAGTAGACAAATTAAATCAAACGAACCTGACGCCAAAATGCGAGGACGTTGGACTTGACGGCGCAACCGGGCGGACCATAGTCATAGAGTCCCGCAACGCCACCATAGATGTTGAAAGATTTGATGTAAAACAGACGCCGTTCCAGCGTATTAGATACCGCTTGGCGGAACGCCTCCCTGTTGACCGAGCCATCGGCGCTGCTCAATGTGGCTTGAAGGTCTTTTTCGATCGAAGCCTTCTGGAGCTTCAACGCGTTCAAGGCTTCAATGGCGGCATCAATCTCCGACTTGGCGGCCCTGCCAGCTTTGAGAGATCGGACCTGGTTGCCTTGGTTCTCGACCTCCGATTGCTTATCGGCAAGGGCTTTGCGGAGCGAGTCCTCTGGAGCAGCCATTATTGGTGTGAAGTGGCGCCTGAAGCAGGGAGCTAGAGATGATGTTAGGGTTTTGTGTGAGTGGCGCAGAGTGAGCCGATGGAAGAAACAGTGGCCAAAAGAAGTCGATGAGGAAATGAAGGCGGAGAGTGTACGCATGCGAATTTGTCCACTTTCGGTGGTGAGTAACTAAACCACTCGTTTTGTTTAGGGTTTTAGAAAAGGCAAAGTCAATCAGTTTCTAAATCAAAACAACAAATGGAAAGTTTGCTAAACGGTGTCGTTCTTCTTGAATATCCTGATGTGTTGTTTCTGGACCCGTTAAAACACTTGGCCCCACAAAGTTATGTCGAGATTTTGTCACAGGCTAGCGGCCCATGGTGACGTATATTGGGCTGAATTTTTGGCCTCGTACGTAGTAGGATTGCTTAACCAATGTCATGTTTGGTGCTCAAAAATGCATGTAGATAATATAAAAGATAATCTCGTGATAATCCAATCATGTGCATTTCGTATAATAATTTATCTCATAAAATAGATGGGATACATAATTCCACTACTCTAACTCTTTAACCACATATTTAAAACCCAAGAGCCGGGACATGACCGCTAGTGCTAAATTCCAATCCGATTGACATGACCGCTAGTGCTAAATTCCAATTCAATCTTAATCGCCAAATATTTGGGAATTATTCTAATGCGATTTTAAAGGGTAAAAGTGGAATTTGAATTTTGCAAGAGAAAACCAAGAGAGGAATGTAGATCCTAATAGAGTCCCCCCGTCTTTAATACATTTTGACACGAAGCCATGCTGGCGTAACTACAATTTAAAATTAGGTGGGTTAGCTTTAAATGTGCTGAAAATGGGGGCTGAATCTTACATTTTCTGGGTGGATATTTTTACTTTTCAAGAGAAATTAGTAGATTGCTTTCCTTCTTTATTTATTTTGTCAATATACTTTCCATCCATGACGTGTAAACTACTTTCCATGTATTCACAGGCGTACTATCACGCCGGTCACGTTTTTACTTATTTAGTATTCAGGAATTATTTTCTTCTTCTTTTTCATTATTATTCAACAACTATCATTTATGAGATGATTTTTCCCTAAAAACTCTGCATTTTATTTTTAATTTTCCAATCAATTCATTATGAACATCAAAACACTAAAAATAATAATGAAAATTTATTACATTGTAAACAGAATATTAATAATCTTTTGCATTATAAGGGGAATATAACTTGTGCTCCACTTCATCACTCTCATTCCACTCATGCAAGTTAAGCTATGGCTTGTCTACTAAGTTGCAACTGAGTGAGTTGGAGTTAGAATTCGTATTCCCAATGAAGTTGCTAAACTATATGAAATTTGAGGGAGAATGGTCGATACAGATTCAATATAAGATGTTCATTAACCCTCTGTTTGGATGAAAAATTGAAAATTGTATAGAATTATTAGATAATTGAATTTGGATCTCCATCATTTAAATTTTTGGCAAATAATAATTTCAATGTTTGGATTTAGGTATGTTGAAATTTGTGAATGACTGAAATTATAGTAAAAAACGAATTCCTACTCAATAGAAATTGTGAAATGATGCATCTTTTGGCGGAAATTAAACTCTAGAATCTCGATCCCAAATTTCCACAATTTTTTATGCGTGTCATTTAATAAGTTCCATGCTTAAGTGGCCAAACAATTGAAATATCAATTTCTCATCTTCAATTCCCGAATTTTAGCGAAATTCCGAGTTATTTTCCTCCATCCAAACTGAGGGTAATATAAATCAGCTAGATTACTAAAATTTTATATTTATAAATATACTATTTTACTTGGTGAATTAAAGTGAATGGGAGAACTTGAAATTTTAGAAATTGTGTGAATAGTATAATGAATTTTTTTATTATATATATTTTAAAAAAGTACTCTTGAATGGATTGTTTCTTCATGAACCACTTCACTATCAAGAGTGCAATTCCTCCAAAATCAATAGTTCAATCTTATGATATTGGGTGGGCATCATTTATGCTTTCTTTTTCACATGATTAATAAATAATTTGCATAATTCGTAATAGGAATTAAACTTCTTATTGTGATTATGATTATGAATAAATAAACATGTCATAAGACTCGTTGACAGATACTAAATGTTAATGTAACTTTGAACAAACGCTTATGGAAAATTGAATCAACATCACCTTTGATTTCCTATGAAATAGTAACACGTTGAATAAGCATTTTTCGCCAAGTTATTGTTAACAATGTTCGCGTTGCATAGATAATCAATGCTCCGACTACTTTTAGATATTACATCAACAACGAATGCTTCGATTGTCATGATTGATTAATAAATTATTTTTCATTACTTTTGAATTATGGAAACTCGACAAGTTAGTAATTCATCGTTTTTTATGACTTTAATGTGATCTTAGTCAACAGTGCAACTCAAACGGTAGTTAAAACAAAATTAGTCGTTATATCGCATCTAACTGCACAGACGCACTTACAATTCCAATCATACTTTTTTAAGGTAATATGTCAGGGTAGTTGGGTCGTTAACCAACAATTAAGAATTTTTTTCCGAAAGTGAATAGATGGAGCCTTGTGGCGCGAAAGTGCCATGTACAATTTCAAAATGATATGATGTCTCACCGTATATCAGGTCCGGTGAATGGTTCACAAAGCTGCTTCTTCACTCATCTCGTTCCAACACATAGCTTTCTACATGTATCGTTACTCTACCCAAAACATTTTAGTTTAAAAAAGATCTCAAACTTTGTTAAAACAAATTAGGTTACATTTACAGACCTTCGACGGGCTTGACATACAAATATCGGTGAAAATATCGATATTTAGCATCATTTCTGGTTTTTATCCTTGTAGCCAAACAATAAATAAAGAAAATTAGTTGGAATTTCTTCCTTATCTTTTTCTCTCCTCCTTAATTTGGTAAATATCCCTCCCCTCTCCTATCATTTTTTGGTGGTGAAATAAAGTTTTGGAGCGTGACACTTCAATGTGTGCCGGAAATCTTCCCATGTATAGAACACACAATGAACAAGAGGGAAAATCGAAGAATTCAAAAAAATCGTACCAAATACATTCTATATCGACCCCTCCTCCGGCTGTCCTATAAATACCCATTCTAAATTCCTTACTTCCTCACCAGTCAGCACTGTCACTGTCAGGAAGAAGAGAGAGAGAGAGTATAGTTTTCAGGTCCAGTATTTTGACCTTTACAAGTCAAACACTCGCCACTCTTTTTCCATCACGATGGCCAACGTCAGCGTTAGAGTGCTCCCCTGCGACGGCGACGGCTTTTGCATGGCCTGCAAAACGAAGCCGTCAGCCGAGGAGACGCTCACGTGCAAAACCTGCTACACCCCCTGGCATGTGGCTTGCCTCGCCGTCCCCCCCGAAACCCTTGCCGAGACTCTCATGTGGGACTGTCCCGACTGTGCTCCGCCGTCCGACGACCGACAGATCGCCGGTAATACGGTAGCCGACGGAGGAGAGGCCGGAAATTCCGGCGAGCTGATCGCGGCGATCAGAGCCATCGAGTCGGACGAGTCTCTGACCGAGCGGGAGAAGGCAAAGAGGCGGCAGGAGCTGATGTCTGGAGGCGCGCGACCACCGTCCGATGTGGTCGGCGCGAATTCAGAGAAGGACGACAAAACCGTCGGTGAAAACGATGGCCTCGATAATCTCGAGGTCGATATCAAGTGCTCGATTTGCATGCAGCTTCCGGAAAGACCGGTTACGGTTCGTCATCCAAACTGACACCAACTGTCGTGTTCTGAATTTCCGTTTCAAAACATTTTTCTTCTTCTCAACTGCCCATTTATTATTCATATATTATTTAACTTAGAAAATGGAGAATTAAAGTCTCACTTGATCGGGAACTGAGCCCGATTAAGAGATTAGATTAATTTAAAGTAAAGTAATTTAGACTATCATTACGGAATTGTGTTAATTGATTTTATCTCACATCGTCCTGAAGTGAGCCGTTCTGTCAGGGGATTAGATTAATTTAAAATTCTCTTAAGAGATTAGATTAATTTAAATTGTTTAAGAGTATCGCTTGTATTAAAAAAAGAAGAAAAGAATTGCGTTAATGAATTTTATCTGCTTCTGTGTTTAATTGTTTCAGACACCTTGTGGTCACAACTTCTGCCTCAAGTGCTTCCAGAAATGGGTGAAGCAGGGAAAGCGAACCTGCGCGAATTGCCGCCGCTCAGTCCCTCCGAAGATGGCGAGCAACCCTCGCATCAACTCTGTGCTTGTGGAGGCCATCCGCATAGCGAAGCAGTCAAACGGCTTCATCGGAGAGGAACAACGAGCTAAGGTGGTTCACTATGTCCAAATCCAAAACCAGAACCGGCCTGACAAGGCTTTCACCACAGAGAGAGCCAAGAAGGCCGGCAAGGCCAACGCCGCGAGCGGCAGAATCTTCGTGACCATCCCGCCTGACCATTTTGGACCCATTCCGGCCGAAAACAACCCTGAGAAGAAGACGGGGGTGTTGGTTGGGGAGACTTATGACGGCAGGATAGAATGTAGGCAATGGGGGGTTCATTTTCCGATGATTTCTGGGATTGCCGGGCAGTCCAAACATGGGGCCCAGTCGGTTATTCTCTCTGGTGGCTATGAAGATGATGAGGACCATGGCGAGTGGTTTCTTTACACAGGGAGGTAATTATATATAATTATTAGAATAATTATAATTAATTAATTAATAATGAGGTTTTAATTAACCTGTTTTGTCTTAATTAATCTTTGGTTTTCTGCTGAACTGTACAGTGGTGGAAGGGACCTTAGTGGCAATAAGCGTACAAATAAGGCTCACACTTTTGATCAGAAGTTTGAGCTGAGGAATCAGGCACTAAGAGTAAGTTGCCTACAGGGTTACCCTGTTCGAGTTGTCAGGTGAGTTTTGTGTCTTCATCAAATAGAAAATATCTGATGCGAGAACAAATTTTTGTTTTCTTTATCGTTTAGGTTGAATCTTATGTGTTTTAGCTAACACTAATTATTCTTTTGGGCAGATCCAAGAAGGAGAAACGCTCCTCTTATGCCCCGCCAGCAGGGCTACGATACGATGGAGTTTACAGAATTGAGAAATGTTGGACAAAACATGGCAAACAAGTAAACAACTCTTCATAATTGAATATGTCAGATTTTGATTCATACTTAATATGTTCATTAACAAGAGTTTTGCTCTTTCAGGGTTTTAAGGTATGCAGGTATCTTTTTGTTAGATGTGACAATGAACCTGCTCCTTGGACAAGGTATATATGAATGTCCCTTTTTTTTTTGTTTCTCTCTGTTTCTCTCTGTCTCTCTCTGTCTCTCTTCACTCTTAATTTTTGGAAAATCAATCTGCAGTGATATTCATGGAGACCGTCCAAGGCCTCTGCCAGTTATTCCGGAGTTGGTGAATGCGATTGATGTAACAGAAAGAAGGGTAGAACCTTCTTGGGACTTTGATGTAAGATTGTTTCATTGCTAATTTATATGGTTTTAGCTGTGCTGGTTTATATTGATTTAAGAACGTCAATAAACATGTTATTTGTGCATCTCAGGAAGAAAAGGTTGCTGGATGTGGAAAAGGTCTCCACCACGCAGCAAAATACCGGTGGATAGTGGGAACCTAGGAGATAAGAAACAAACTAGGAAAGTTATCAAGCGAAAACAGAAAACGACTGTTAGCAAACGGCTTCTGAAAGGTATAGCTTTATGATAAAATGTGTGTAATTCCTGCCATTTTATTACTACTGCTCATGTAATCACCATAACTCCTTGTTTCCTTAATTTTAATGTAATATGTTTAATAAGCAAATTGCGGTCGATGCAGGGTTGGAATGCTACCTCTGTCATAATGTTATGACTCTCCCAATTACTACGCCATGTGCTCACAACTTTTGCAAAGATTGCTTAGAGGGCGCCTTTGCTGGCATAAGCGCAACGACACAGCGTACATGCCAAGGCAGACGTACATTACGGGCAAAGAAAAACGTGATGAAGTGTCCTTCATGTACGAATGACATAGCAGATTTTCTTAACAATCCACAGGTATGTTGTCTGCTGCATATATGTTTGGGTAGTCCATATTGAAGTTCACTCCATACTAAAGTGGATGCATCTAATCTTAACCTTAATGCTTGACAAAATTGTACAATACTGTTAAGGCAGGTTTGTGTATGCTACTTCTGTCTGTTTGGTGCAGTTGCAGTTTTATTTTGTTATCCTACTGTGTTTTCAACTCTGATCAGTAATGACTTCTTATTATATGGTTCTACCCTAACACCTGTTTCAGTGCCCAATAAATATTTTAATCAGTTGCAATTTCTCCATTAATATATGTTAACATCTTGACAGGTTAATACAGAACTCAAGAATATCATAGAATCACTCCAGGTGAAAGCTGTTAAGTCAGAGGAAGGTGCTAAAGAGTCAAGTAAACATACTGATGGCTCACATGAAAAGCCTGATTTGGTTGCTGAAGACCTTGAAACTCGCAATGTAAGTGAAGCGGCTCTGGACGAAGCCAAAGAAAGTGCTGACATTTGTATGACAGACGCAGAGAGACATGAGGGCAAGGAGCTCTTTAAGCTGCAAGATTCTGTTAACAGTGAGGTAGAACTTGGTCCGGTTGAACCTGCAAAGGCCAACAAGAAGGAACTGCAAGCAACTGCAGTTGAGAGAAACTTAAAGCAGACTCGCAAGCGAAAAAAGGCGAACAATGGAGGTAATGCCTTGGATGTCGGGGCAATGACTAGTAGCAAGAGGGGTAAAGTGGAAGCAGCTGCGTGATTTTGCTTCATGAATCGGCAACCAATTCAATTTTTATTGTCTTTAGGAAAGGGGGTCTGCAGCAAAATAGCTGTTTTTCTTTTTCTTTTTTCTGTCGAACAATTGCTGGTTTTTTTTTGGGGAAGGCCAGCCATGGTAAGCATTTGTTGTTAATAGTTGTCACTGTTTATTAATATGACAGTGTCAACTATAAAAAAAAATTTAAATAAAAGGTGTGCCGTTATTCCAATTGCTGCTAATATGTTCTTCAATTCAATAGGAGGCCATATTAATTTTTCAATTTTAGTGATGATAATGTCTTTCATTGCAGATTTATGTTTTTTAATCTGTCAGCAATGGCTCTTGCCAAATCTTGACTGGCATATAAAATTATATTAAATAAATAAATAAATAATTATTTTGGTAAAGATAATCTAATTAGTTATTGTTCTTTTGAATTGAAATGGCATGGCTGCAAGGAAAGAAGGAAACACATAGGGACCTTAAGAATATGAAGACTATAAATATGTATGTAGCTTTAGAAAAGTGTCTAACACTCAGAGGTTTTGTACAGTATAATCTACCTCAAAATTCTTTTCCAGTAGAACTATTGACTAAAGAGCCACTGTATACACCTAATCGAAATTCTGACTGAACTTCTCTTGCTCAAGCTTCTCAATCAAGGCTTGCTTCTCATCTTCAGGCAGAGAATTGAACGTGAAGACAGACTTGTCACCAATGTCATCCTTGAATTGAAAGTGAAAGACAGTTCATCATTACCAAATGTATTGGCCATTAATATTAATCTCAAATGGTAACTGAAAAAATATATATATAAATGGGATTTTTATAAAATTAAGTCAATTGGAAAACTACCTTAATTGGTTGAGTGAACTTTCTTCCAGAAAATATCACAAACAGAGCCATCCATAATCCCAGCAAAGAAAGTTTTGTTCCATCATCCATCAAGCCACTCTGTGTTTCAATCAATTCAAATGAGCATGAACTTCATTAATGCCTAGATAAAACAGGGTATAAAAGCTAGGGTTCAACTTTGAAACATGAAAAGGATAAGTTTTTAACAAGATATATGCAAGAATAAGAAAATATACCAGGTGCCCAAGAAGGGTGATAGGTATAATGAATGTGAGAATTCCAGCTTCCAATTTCCCATAGCAGAGACCTGAAATAAGCACTCTATTTAAATATACCGAGCTAAGGCTTGAATTAAATACAAGCAAGTAAAGTAAACGGGTCTAGCTCAGTGAAAAATGGTCCGGCAAATGGAGTCTGAACTATGCTTGTACTTGAAAAAGAACAAAGAAAAGTGAGCAACAAGGCAAAATAGAACACATTTGAGCTCTCTCATTACCTTCCTTGAAAACTAGTCCTGTGAGTGATACGAAGAGGGGGCCAACAAACCAGACAGCTATTGGGTTATCAACAACATACTGAACTAAGCCCTCTCCAGCTGGAAGAGCCAAGCTTGCATATGCAGCTACAGACCCAACAACACCAAGCCCCCAAAATGCTTGCAGAGTGCGCTTAATTTCAGTCACATAGATGTGAATCAGAAACAAAGACAAACCCAACCCACCAGCTCCAATTGCATAGACAAAATCAAGATTGTGCTTCACAATTCCAGTCAAGAAAAAGCTATCAGGCAAGAAGGCAGCAGAGGCAGCAACCACAAATGATGCAGCAGCTGTCACGAGTCCCGACCTGTACAAAATCACCTGCCACACCAACGCAAACCCCAAAAACAAAGATGGGTAAACATAAAAAATACTGGGTTAAATGGAATTAATTAACATAATAATTAGAAAGAGGTACCTCTCGAACGTCGGTGGAGTCAACGGTCCAAGGACCGTAGATTCCTTGATAAACAGTTTCAGCCAAGGAGGTCTGAGGCTGAGAGCTTTCGCCGAGAGCTTTGCACTTGAAAGATTGAAGCCGGACTGATGAAGCCTTATCTGAAGAACAAGGCAGAGAGAGCTTGGAACCAGTATTTGTATTGGTAGGCTTCGCAGCAGGAGGAGGAGGAGGAGTGACGATGCCTGCACACAGGCATAGCATTTTTGAAGCCATATGCGTGTGCGTGTGTGTTTTTTTTTCTTTTTGGGTAATTAATGCGAGTTGAGAACCAAAGGGATTTGCTAATTTTCAGTTATTTTACTTGATGCATAAAAATAAAAACAATCCTTTTAGCCTTCTTCATCGGATGTGTGGATGTCACAAGTGCAGTGGGCATTTAGTATAAAATACGAGAGGAGAAGCTTGTCCTGAAATTCTATTATTCTCCTGTTGATCTTTTGGATAATAGTCTTAAGATGCGAAAATGTTTCAACAACGTTGAGATGGCCGAGTTGGTCTAAGGCGCCAGATTAAGGTTCTGGTCCGAAAGGGCGTGGGTTCAAATCCCACTCTCAACAAAAATGTTATATTTTTGTCTCCTATTGTCTTTTTCTTTTTCTTTTTCTTTTTCTTTTTCTTTTCCGAGGCCAACGGGCCAACAGGCCCAACACTAGACGGCTGAGAGAGAAGCAATGGATGGCCCAAAGAACGCGCAACACAAGGCGACCTTGTTTCCCTAGGCCACCTTCATTTATTCTCATTGGACCACACCACCACGCATTCTCATTGGACCAGCCGAACCACTCATTCTCGTTCAAATTGGTTTAATTAGAGGGGAGGGCGGCAAGACTTGAAGATACAACTGTCAACAACCAAAAACCAGAAGTTGCTGAGTGCGCAAATTATCTTTCTCTTTAGGAACCACGTAGTTATATCAACAAAGTATTTGTTGCTTGGAGCATCATCTAATTTTATCCGTTCATTCAATATAGCAACTAACCTTTGATTTTGAAGGCGCTAGAGCACCACCTTTGGGTTTTATCCATTCATTCTATATAAGGACCAACTTTTGCATTTTAACAAGTCGTTGGAGCATCATCCAAATCCAAAACTCGGTGAGAGACATTATTTGCTGATTTTTTTTATTTTATTGTTATCATTGTAAAAATATTTGTTACTAATGTATGAGAACCAGGGCCGGCTTTAGGGGTAGGCGAGAAGGGCCTTGGTCGTGGGCCTCCAATTGAGGGGGCCCCAAATTATATATATATATATATATATATATACTATTGTCCAACTTTTATTTTATTTTATTTTATTTTTAAAAAAGTCACCGATGAAATTAAATGAGGAAAGCAATTCCTCTTCCCAAAAGCTCTTCATTTCCCATGCAGCCAGCAACAACGCCTCTCCTAATTCGTTTCTGCATGGAACTCTTTTTAATCCACCGATCTCTTTATAATCCACCACCATTTATTTTCTCTATTTTCCCCATCTCCCTTCAATCCATATCCATTATTTTCAATTTCTCTCATCCCTCTTTTTTGATATCATATTGTAACCATAAGAATCAATCTCACACTAAAAAGCTCACAAATTGTCTTTGAGATTGATGGTGACCAAGAGGGGAGGAGCATGAGAAATTGAAAAGGTAATCATATTTATAATTTTTTTCTTTATATTTGTTCATACCCAGCAAACTATTGTTTCAATTTCCAATAGGAACAAAACACAGAGAGATACAAAGTGGTAATCAGATTAATGAATACTTGATTGAATTGCATGTATCTTATCATTGTAGATATACATGAATCAGGTGGAGGTACGGAGTGGAGTTTCTCAAATTTTAGTTTCAACATAGCTAGCTTGAATAAAGCTATACAAGATTGATGCTTTTTTTTATATATAAGCTTTAACCATGTTTTATTGCTCTTTGTTTGCTGCTTGATTTTAAATTTTTTTTGGTAACACTTTAGTTTATTGGTTGTGTTTGCTGTGCTGGTTGTGTTTGGTGTGTTTCTTTTGTTCATTGGTTGTCTATTTTTCACTTTCTAGACTTACGAGTTGCACTAGAAAAACGGTTAGGAAACATGAATATGGAAGTGCAAAAAGAAATAAATGAAGAAAAATAGAAAAAATGATTCAAACTAAAAAAGGAGCTCTTGATAAGTTTTTTAAAACTAGTTCTTCAATCGAAGATTTAGCTTATTATTTACTTAATGAAGGGTTCGGTGATCTCAGTGAGAATGAAAATAATCTGGAAGAAATGATAGAAAATGATATAAATGAACTGAATGAGGGTGGTGAATTTATTGAGAATGAAAATAATAAGGAAGAAATGATAGAAATTGATATAAATGAATTAGGGGTGGGCTCGATCCGGTTCTCACCTCAAACTGGTACCGAAACCAGTACTATTTAACCGGTTCGGTTCGGTCTGGTTTAGGCAAAAAAAATTTCAAAAACCAACCTGTTTTGATTCGGTTTTGAACCGGATTATTAATTTAATTTTTTTTAAAAAATAAAAAATAACTTATTTTTTTGGCTTAAAAATTAACAAATAATCCAATTCATACATTTATAAATTTTTTGAAGTTGAACTTGGAAAAATAATGATTATAAAATTTAAAATATGGCATTAGATTTTAAAAAAATTGTAAAAATAAAAAATATAAAAATATGACCGGTCTGGTTCGGTCCGATTTGGCGCCGTGCGGTATAAAATCGGAACTAGAATTGGTTCGGTCCGGTTTGTTGACTTTTTTGGTCAACTGGTTTTTTTTTCACCAGTTCAGTTCGGTGTTTCGGTTTTCCGGTCCCGATGCCCACCCCTAAAATGAACTGAATAAGGTTGGTGATCTAATTGAGAATGAAAATAATAAGGAAGAAAAGAGAAAAAATGATACAAATGAATTGAATGAGGTTGGTGATCAATTTCAGAATGAAATAATAAGGAAGAAATAAGAAAAAATGATACAAATGAATTGAATGAGGTTGGTGATCAATTTGAGAATGAAAATGAAACATAACAAATAAGTCATTCTTTAAATATCTATGATTCAAGAAATTGGGATATCATTGATAACAAAACAAATGATCTTTTAGTAGAAAAGGGTCCTATAAGAAAAAGTAATCTCAAGTTTCCTGTGGATGGGCTTTCTAGGCATTTTTCATATTCATTTTATACAACAAAGTTACCAAATGAAGAGAAACATGATAGAAAATGGCTAGTGTACTCAAAAGATGTGGACGAAGTATATTTTTTATGCTATAAGTTGTTTAAATCTATGCAGAATAAAAGTTTGTTAGCAAATGAAGGGCTTAATGCTTGGAAACATTTAAGTGAGAGGCTTAAAAAACATGAGAATAGTGTTGAGCATATCACTAATGACAAGACCTAACCTATATTCCACTTTGGAATCTATGTCGAACCCTGTGCGTGTTCAACACCTAGCAGGTGCTAGACACATTTGACCAAATTGCCCTTTAAACCAAAACTCAAACATTCTTTTAAGATTTGACTTCTGCTAAATAATCGACAGAGTCTCCTCTGTAAATTGTTCGTTTCCCAAAATTTACACATGTACAAAATGCAATTCATATATCCACAAGCGTTCAGCATGCACAATGTTAGAGCACACACAATTCAACAGCAAATCTGTGTGGCCTCAAACCTTGTAGAAATCCTAGGGCAATATCAGAGCCTACTAATTAATTTAATTTACAAAAATAGTACAGTTACAGTAGAATATCCTACATAATGGAAGTAAATGAGTGGTGGGTGATGAATGCCCGGTGGTGGTGCTCCGGTACTCGATTATTGCCTGGGGGCCCAAAACATTAAAAATGTGAGTAGACAAAAGAAAGTTTTGCAAAATAGAATATCAACATACTAACCCCACTATTAAAACCATTTGAAAATTCATTTAATCCATGTTCTATATTCATACAAAAATCAAGCATGCATATCTATATTCATATATTCAATCAAATCATCAAAACCATTTGAAAGCGTTGAAAAATAATAATTCCTTTCCACCTAGGTGCACCTTTCATAAATCCGTCAATTCCATGATATTTTTATTTATTTCTCACATCATACCGTCAATTCCAAGTGTCACATAAGTGACACATCCTTGCAGAACTCGGAAACACAAAGTTAACCCGAGTCGCATTCCTCGCAGAACTCAGGAGACACTTGGTCACCTGAGCCGCATTCCTCACTCCTTACGGTCTGGGTATCCCTAGGACTCATGGGGCAACTGTCAAACGCGCGCTGACTCAACCGAAGGCAACAAGAATGTCTATGGACATCATTATATTCGAAGGCAACATTTTAGGTACCTATAATGGTTTAAAAACCTTTCCTGAAAAATTATAATATCGTTTCTCACTAAATCCTTAAATCCTATTACCATGTCCCTTTCTACTTTCCAAGCCATTCACATTTAATCATAAACAAAATTTTATAAAAGCATTTGAATTCAAATTGTATGCTTGAAAAGCAAAACCCATAAATAATTCATTCATGATCAATTAATAAAACTTTTACTGCATAAAAATAATTTATAAAACAAACGTCCACCTCACTGTGCGTCCGAGCTAGCTTGAACCTTATGGGTTCTTTCTACAGGTTTGGTGGAGCCCAAGTATCTACTTAAGCATTTAAAATATTTAATTAATAAAATAGCTCAACCACAAATATTTAATCAAAACTCTGACCTTCGGCCTTAAAAGTGCATGTGCGTAACTTAAGAAAGTTCCTAGGCCCATTTTCAACCGCTCTGACAGTTGGAATGATATGAAAGACCCGAGATTAAATATACGATTAAATTCTTATATTGCTCAACCCGGTCCCCCGTGGGGTCTACGACTTCTGATTAATAATCCAAGAGTTCCTACAGGTTCAACAAAATTTACTAATGACATTATGCAAGTTTGGTTTAGATCGAGCGGTTCGATCGCTCACGATCGCACGATCGAACGGTCACCATTTTACGTAATATTTGAATCATTGATTCGAAGTATCCGAGACTCCGATTCTCGATCTGTGAGTTCTTACATGATCCTAGAGGTTCATAGATCAACATATTTGAAAATGGAGTCGATGGTCAATCCGGTCCCCCGTGGGATCCATGACATCCGATTAGTAATCCGAAAGTTCCTACGGATTCAACAAAATTTACTAATCACGTCTTGCAAGTTTGGTTCATATCGAGCTGTCTGATCGCTCATGATCATAAGATCGGACGGTCACCGTTTTATGTAATCTTTGAATCATTGATTCGGAGTATCCGGGGCTCCAATTCTCTATCCGTGAGTTCCTACACGATCCTAGAGGTTCCTAGATCAACATATTTGGAAATGGAGTCCATCCAATGGTCTGAACATATTGAACCTGGATATTGCCTAATATGTAGAAATCCGTTCGACCTTCAAACGATAACCAAATTCGAATCCGAGCATACCATCATGCTCGGGACGACATGGGGATCATTTTTGGACCAAATGGGCTACCCAAACTTGGCCCACATGCCGCCACACCCGCAAGCAGCGCTTGGGTGGCTTGAGAGAATTTTGGTGACCGGAAAATTCTCAAAACACCCAACATTACCTATGCTTACGTGATCAGGACAACTAGTGGAGCAACTTTTGTTCTTGGGCCACTGCCAAAAAGTGGCTGGAACTTGCTAGAAAATCGAGTCAAAAACGGGTCAAAACTTTAGATCGTAAATCGAGCTTCAAAACTTCAAAATCGATCCTAACCAAACCAACCATTAGCTAAGTCATGTTGAAAGGAATTGCGTAAAACAACGACGGAAAGTTTTGAGAAAATTGGAACTTTATCGAGCTACCGCCGGCGAAGGAGCGGCTGGGCTCGTTGGAGATGAGGAGGGATAGGTAGAGGGGGCATGGCAAATTTTAATGGAGGTGGTCTCGTGGCCAACTGTGGCAGAACGAAGGAGATAGCAGACCAAATAATGGCCGGTTGTTAGTTTCGCAAGGAGAGAGGTGAGGTTGCTGGAGGAGGGGGGGAAGAGAGAGAGAGAGAGAGAGAGAGAGAGAGAGAGAGAGAGAGAGAGAGAAAAGAAAATTTGTTTGTTTTTAAAATCTGACTTTTAAAATATTTATGATTGTGCCACTGCACTTCCGTTGATCGTAACTTCTTCACTAAAACTCCAATTCAAGCCCTCTACGTGTTCACCCATTTTGATTTTAATCCTGTGATGGCAGGGTAAAGTTCCCCATTGGCTTGACAACCATTGGTGGTCAACAAGTCAACTTTCTTTTGTGTATGAGCGTGCAACTGCTAGCAGTGAAAGCCCTAGCAGACTTCTAAAAAATAGATAACCTGTGCCCCAAGTTATTGATTTCTAAACAAGCGATTGTGAATTTGGGTGAGGAATATCTCCCAAGTAAGTTCTTTTCTTTGCCTCAGACTGGTGAAGACTTCATAATTTTCATAGTACAAAATGGGTAGTTCTGGCCAGAATAGACAAAAAAAAGACAAACTGTTTTAGGCAGAACTACCTGTCACAGGACTCAAAAATGAAATGACAACTCCGAAGCAAGACAAAAGGATGTTGGACATTCGATTTCTGCCTGGATAACTGCCTTTGAACCGGGCTAGATTGGATGTGTATGTGCTGGACTGGATTGTCAACACCTTCAACTGATGAGTTTCAGCTGGAAATCGATACGAACGTTTGAGTTTGGCAGAGCTTCAATTTATTTCGGGCCATGGAAGGCTTGCTGAATGGGCAGAATTGAGGCCCCTTCAGTCTGGAGAGGGCAAAAGTGGCTGGATTGATGATCACTGAGTTGGAGTTGCACTATGGAGCCTGTTCTGCTTGATTAAGGCTTTCTATAAATTTGATGAGGTTTTCATATTTGTAAAGAAACTCGGACTCTGCTTGACTTGGTTTTTTACTGAAACAAATTTGTAACGAGAGAAATCTCGCTTTGTAAAACTATTTTTCTAAACTGAACTGAAATCAGAAACTTGAATTCTAGCTTATTTGTTTCTTGTGGCTCAATGAGCTTGGGTTGCTTCAGTGTTTGAAGGCTTTTGAGATCAATGGATCTTTTGAGTTTGTCAATTGTGATTTTGAGAGTTTTTGTCTTGATTGATTTTTTTTTGCTGTCATTTGATCTGTTCACCTCCTCTTATATTTATAGAAAATGCTGGAGTGAGATTTTTTAATCTTTAAATAATGGGTGGCAAATATTTTCAAAAGATCTTTCGTTTTAAATGCCATAAAAAGGGGAAGTTATCTATTCTGGCAAAAAAACTATCAACAGTCAGTTCTTATGGTGATCATCTCCCTGCTTTTCCTGAAAGAAAACCTAATCCCTTCTTAGTCTTTAACCGCCCCTTGTAAGAATGCAATTTGCCATGATGGTTAGTTTGCTTTTCTTGATGAACAACTCCTTGTTCCCTACTTATATCTTTAGAAAATGTAGTATGCTTATCCCTTGGAAATGACATCTGCTCTGGTGCAAAATTTCTCTGTATATAGAAAGGGATTTTGATCTTTTGGTTGCAAAGATTCAAAGAATCCTTCCTTTTATACATGCCTTCATTAACTCTTTGTCAACTCATCTGTGATAGTTGAAATTTTTGACTTTTTCAAAGTCAGGTAGTCACGTGGGACTTTTCTGGGAAAACATTCTTTTAGTGAGGAAAGATCTACTAACTTGCTTTTGAGATTAAGTGGCGAGATTTCTTCAGAAGCTGGGTTTAATCCAATTTGTTGGAGGTTTTGACATGCTTGGTGATGAATTTCCATCTAATTGGCAATTTTATTGATTTATCTATTCATTTTTTGTGTTCTTAAACCTCTGCCCTTTTTTTTGAAAAAGACGTGACCTCCAATGTTGATTGGGCTGCTTCCCTTTTCTTCAAAGCCCAAGACTGTTCTCGCAGAATTTCGAGAAACTAGTCTGGGCTTTGTCTATTTTGGGCTGCTCTTCAGTTTCTTTTAAACATCAAGCCCAAGCTGTGCTCATGTTTTTGGGCTTCATAAATAGGCTGGGCTTCGCAGAATTTAGGCCCAAACAATGCCCCCTAAGTTTGAATCGTTTTGGAACGGTTTCAGACTTAATGATTGGCCATCAATTGTGCGCGCCATTTCCTTCCATTGCAACTAGCCCACGTTTGCCTATTCAACTAGGCTTTGTGTGTAAGTGGTCAGTTTCTAATGGCTAATTTATTCTGATTAAAACTTGTTCCACTCTCCCCACGATCTTCTTCCTTTAGTTTATAAAACTTTCTAACCTCCATCATTGTTCACTTGCAACCTAGTTTTGCTTTCAGCTTTCATTTCCTCTTACAAATCCCTTTATTCTTTGGTTCGTTTCTTCAACCCTTCCCTATTCGTTTGAATTCGAAAATGTCTTCTCCAAACACTCGTCCCAAGGGTTCTTCTTTTTCACGGTCTCCTGCTATCTCACTGGAGATGGCGTTGATAATCATGCAATAGAGGTTCGAAGCGAGCTTCATCCATTTGCCCAAAAGAATCTGGACGAGAATGTCTTCCATCTGTTCAAGAACACCCTTGTTCTGGGTCCTCATTGGTTCGACCATGTTCTTGAGGAAATGGCACTTCTGTTTAAGGGTGACATTGAAGCTCCTCTGTGCTTTCAGAGCTTTTTTGCCCTGGCTTCTCATACCTAGGTTAGTAAGAATTTGAGTCGCTCCTATCCCTCTAGTGAAGTGAGGAACAACATGGTAAAGTGGGCAGATTGAATCGACAAGCTTCTTCTAAGATATAGAGCTCACTAGAAGAGGGCCGGATCCATGATGCAATCCTTCTGTCCAAGCAGTCCATAAATAGAGATGAGAACCTTCTGGCTGTTGCTCTGTGCTTCTAGAATTCTGCCTGCAACACTTTCTACTTCCATATCGGCCCAATGACTCCAACCCTGCTGGACATGGCTCAAATCTTCGAATTCAGGCCCCATGGAAGGCCTGTTGATGTTGTTGGTAATTATCACAGAAGGAAGAACTAAGAAAGATTGGCAAAGCCCTTCACTATCTCTCTAGCGACAATCAACCAGAATTGCTCCTTTTCTAATTACCTGAAGAAATTCAACTCAGAGAAGGATAAGGATCAACATCACATGATGTTCTTCTTATACTGGTTGAACAGGTTCATTTTTCCAAATTGTTCATCGGCAGTTTTGCTTGAATACAAGAATCTGGCAGAAGCTCTGCACAATCACACTAATGTGGGGCTTGGACCCACAGTTCTGGCTCATTTGTTCAAGAATCTCCATACTACAACCTTGGAGAATCCTCTAAATTTGTTTGCTCTTGGTGCTTTTCGGATGATCCAGATCTGGTTGCAAGTGTACTTCCCAGAACTTAGGTTTCCGGATGTGGCTTTGCCTTAAGATCAAGTTTTGGCGCTTTCTTTGACGTCAGCAGAAGTGCCTAAGCGTCAATTGAAGAATACTTGATGTTCTTCAAGCACTGCACCAGGAGGTCTGCTGCTCAAAGGCATGTGGTGCTTAGAAGGACCTATCCTTGGTTCCAGCCTGGGTATAGGCTGTTTGAAAAGGAACCAGAAGAAGAGGAAGCTAGAACTGAGTTCAGGAAGAAATTCCTGAGTGTGACACTACCCTGGGACCTGCCTTTTGGAGGTGGGAAGCCTCCTAACTATCACTTGGGGGCAGAAGTGTATCACCCTAACTTCTGTGCCAGGCAACTTGGTTGCCCTCAGTTAATCCCACTCAAGTCTTACAGAAGCTGCAATTGGGCCACTTCTTGGAGAGATTTAGATGATCTGGAGGTGCATAAGAACTGTAAGTGCTCGGTGAACAAGTTTAACAACAGTGTGGATGCTCTCTATCCATCCTTGGAGCTTAATTCTTGCAGTTCTGCCGAGTTCAATGCTTGGTGGAAAGCCAGATTCCATAGTTTGCCTGCTTCCATTTCTGCCACCAAAGTGCTTTTTGATGGCTGGAACTCTTGGACTGTCTATGCAAGGGCAAAAGCCAAGCAATTCATGGTGCAGATGATCAAGGACATCAATGGACAAGTGATTGAAGGTAGAGTCTCAATTCTGCCTTTTCCTATCCTGTTTTATCATATTCTGCCTGAGTGGAAATTTCTAACCCTATCTTGTCTGTTTGTGGCAGATCCTTCTATTACAAAGAGCATTGGAGGACAAGATGTTCAAGTTGGGGAAGTGATTGGTAAGTTTTCGAGCTTTGTTCTTCTACCTTTTTCTGCTGGATTGTTTTCTAACTCTCTATTTTATGTGTAGTTACTTTTGTCATAGCTGCTAGAGACCTGGAAATCCCTTCCGGGGATGAAGGAGAAGATCAGGAAACCTTGGCATAACAAACAATTTTCCAAGCAACTCCTTCTGCCAGAAGGAACAAAAGGAAGGAAACTGCCCAGGCTCAGGATAGTGCTGTCAGCCAGAAACCTCATGTAAACTTTGAGAATTTGAACTCTCTTATTTTATTATGCGCTGTTCTTTTGTTCTAATCCTTTATCTTATGTCCTTTGCAGCTGAAAGTGCTCCTCCCCCTCCTACTAGGTCAAAAAGACTTAGGAAGAGAGCTGTGGTAGAATACGTAGCCACAAAATCTGCAGTAGCTCCTACAACCACTTCTGGGACAGATGAAGAGTTGAGAGAGGCTTTCGAGGTTGTGGAGCAAGAAAAAAAAGCAGAAGTCTTGACAGGAGACAAAGAAGAGGGCAAAGAAGTTGAAGAAGAGGTGAGACTTTGTTCTTTCTGCGTGGAACATGATTGTCTTGCGTCTGTGCGATCTCTAATTTTGACTTCTATCAATCTGTAGGAGGAGATACTTGCTGAAGTGATAGCAGAAAGCATTGCGCTGGCCAAGAAACAGTAGGAAGCTCAAAAGGCAGAACCCACAAGATCAGAATTGGCTCTCCTTGATGATGTGGAGGTGGAACATTCTGCTGTTGTTCTAGATTGTGAGGTGGAGGCAGAACACTCTGTTGCTATCCCTGAGCCTGAGGTAATTTCTATTTTGTCTTGACTCTGTCTGGTCTCTATAGTTCTGTTCTATCTTGTTTCTAATGCGTCTGTCTTTTCAGGTGGAAGAAGATAAAACTGCTGGGGTTCTGACTGTAGTGATCAGTCTTCTCAAGCCTCCTATTGTAGCTGTAAGTATTACTTTGTGCTTTAGCTTTTCTTTTATTTTAATTATGCATGAAACTAACTTGAGTTCTTTATGTAGATGCCCATCCATTCTGTCCTTGGTTCATCCACCACGGCCTCCTTTGCTGATCCAAAATTGGCGGAGTTTGAAGTTATGGACTTGGATGCTCAGCTGGATAAGCTCGAGAAATTAGGATCTGCTCCTGGCAAGGCTAAGTCCAAGGCAATGGATAGAATGAGGATTTGGCAGTCAAATGAGCTAGACTTAGATGAGAACAAAAAAGCTATTGATTAGTTGATGAAGGACCTGGACTTACTGCACAGGGAGAACATGGCTCCCATGCCTATCCTTGAGATCAGTCTAGGTTTGGCCAGAGATGTGCTCAACCTCCACAACTATTATGAAGATCTCAAGCCCTCTTTCAATGCCTCATAGTTATGCAAAGCTATCCATGTAGCCAACTTGGCTGACTATCAGAAACAAAAAGTAGAACTGGACAAGATGGTCGCAGACTATATGGAGGCCAAGACTTGCTGCTAATAAGCTGGAGAAACAAATTGAAGAACTTCAAAAGCAGCTGGCTGGGTTGAGGGAGAGGCAGAACAGGCTTGGGGCTGGATTGGGTACTAAGGCCAAGGCAACCTTCCTCGTGCAGAATATGGTCTCAGCTTCTAGGCCAACATTGGAGATTGCAGAAGCTTCTATCCACTAGGGAGTGCTTCTCCAAAAAGAGATTTCCACCAAGAAGACTGGTTTGCAAGAAACCCTTAGAAAATTAGGACTTTGAAATTCTTCCAAAATGTAATAAAACTTTAGTCATAGCAAATGACTATATTTAAATAAAAATCCTAACTATTTTGTGGAATCTTTGTTTTTTTATATTTCCTTCTAACTTAGATGAAACAAACGAGGGTAGAAATAAAGCACACACTAAAAGTAAAATTCTTGTACAAATCTGAATGGAAAATCAAACAACAGTTCCGTCCTTTTCCCCCTCAATTCCAGGGTCTGTTTGTACTGCCCATGAATCCCACATAGTTGGATAGAACTTCTTCAATCATTTGCCATTAATTGGTGCAACATGGATGTCTCCATCTTGGTCCTGTAACCTATATGCCCTCAATCCAAGGACTTGCTTGACTATGAAAGGTCCTTCCCATGTAGGTGACCACTTTCCATAAACAGCAATGTGTGTTCCAAGAGGTAGAACTGCCTTCTAGACAACTTCTCCTTCTTCAAAACTCTTGTTTCTAACTTTCTTGTTATAGGCTCTTGCCACAGCCTGCTTCCCTGCTAAAAGTTTGTTGAGAGTATCAATTCTGCTGGTATCCAACCCTTCTAATTCTAGCAGCATTGCCTGTGAATAGTCTTCCCCAACCAAATTATGTTGTTGGGCAATTATGATGGATTGAACTGCGATTTCCATGGGCAGAATTGGATCATGCCCATAAGTCAAAGCATATGGAGTCATGCCAGTTGCTTCTCTTTTTGAAGTTCTATAGGCCCACAAGGTTTTTGACAGTTTTTCGTGCCATTGCCTTGGATTATCCTCAAGCATTTTCCTGATAATGTTGATAATCACCTTGTTGCTTGATTCTACCTGTCCATTAGCCTGGGCACAATAAGGAGTGGATTGAAGTAGTTTGAACTTGAATGCTTCTGCCATGTCTAGCATTTCCCTGGATATGAAAGAATCTCCCCTGTTAGTGGTATTGATTCTGGTATGCCAAACCTTTGCATAATCTATTCTTCTATGAAGGCAATGATCTCTTGAGATGTGGTGGATTTGACTGGCTTAGCTTCCACCCATTTGGTGAAATAATCAGTAGCCATTATGATAAAATAGTGTTGCTTGGTACTGGCTGGATAGATTTTGCCAATGAGGTCCATTGCCCATCTTCTGAATGGCCATGGCTTGACAACTAGATTCATGGGAACTGAGGGAGCCTGCTGGATTGGACCATGTCTTTAACAAGCTTTAATATCCCTTAGAATATTCTATACAGTCCTTCATCATGGTAGGCCAGAAGTAACCATACCTTCTAATCAACCAACACATTTTTCTTCCACCTTGATGTGCTCCACAGATTCCTTCATGGGCTTTTCCCATGACCTTCATGTATTCTTCTTTTCCTAAGCATCTCAAAAGTAGCTCATCTTTGCTTTTTCAGACCAAATCTCCATTCCACATGAGGTAGTTTAAGGCCAGGATTCAAATCCTTTTTTCAGAAGGAAGGGTTGGATACTGCAGATAATTGATTATAGGCAATCTCTAATCTTCTTCAGTCATTATGGCAATATTGACATCTATCTCCATTCATCTGGTCAAAACATATGGTTGGCTTTTCTTTCCTACCTTAATGATTCTCTGTATGCAGTCTTCAGACGTTTGTACTCCTATTGCTATCTAGGTCATCTCATTAGCTGCAAAGTGTTCTTCTCTTGGGATATGTTCCTAAGTGGCTTCCCTGAATTCTACGAAGAGATTTTTGGCTGCTACTAGGTAGACAGCTAAAGATGGGCTAAAAAATTTGTATTCTCCAGCAATCTGTTTCAGTACAAGCATGGAATCTCCTAGAATTTCGACAGATTGGATTACTAGTTCCACCAGCATTTCTAGTCCTATGATTGAAGTTTCGTATTCTGTTTTGTTATTGGTGCACTAGAATTCTAGCTGGAATGAATAACAATGTTTGATTCCTAGTGGATCTTCTAACACAATCCCTGCCCTAGAGGCTAAGTCTGTTTTAGATCCATGAAAGTATAGCTTCCAGGGGGTGAGATGGACTGAGTAAATGGGATTATTGAGACAGGTGTGAGCTCTAGTTAGCAGGTCTGCATTGGCTATATCCATGGAATCCATATTGTCAATTTCTTTCTCTGGATGATCTGCCAAGAAATCTGCAACAGCTTGTCCCTTGATGGACTTCTGAGGAACATATCTGAAAGCAAATTATGATAGGGCCAGAGTCCATTTACCAATTTTCCCTCTCAACATTGGTCTTGTTAGCATGTACTTGATCAAATCTGTTTTGGCAATGATGTAGGTGGTGAAAGGTAACATGTAATGTCTGAGCTTTATAGTAGTAAAGTATAAAGCCAAACAAAGTCTTTCAACTCTAGAATATTTCCTTTATACTTATGTCAGAGTTCTGCTCAGGTAATAGGCTGTCTTGTGGATGTCTTCTCCTGCCACCATTATTTGATTGTACCTTGCATTGCCATCTATGAATGATAGCATCTAATTGTGGGCAGCTCTGTCTACCAGCATGTTTGCCATGGGCATTGGATACTCGTATTTAGGAGATGCTTCATTCAGATTTCTGTAGTCTGCACATATTCTGACTGCCAGTGGCTGATCCAAATAGGGGCAAAAGGGGTCAATTGACCCCCGCAATCTCGGAATCCGCCATGGAAACCCAAGAACTTGACCCTTGCAAATGCCTAGAAGGTGTTTGATGAAATGCCCCAAAGAGGGAGCAGCCATAGCCAAGAGCAAGCAAGCTTGCTTGCTGCCTAGCGAGCACGAGGAGCCCAACGCTTTTTTTTTTTTTTTTTTTTTTTTTTTTTTTTTTTTCATCAAAACGACGTCGTTCCACTTAAGTGATTTTTTTTAAAAAGACCTGGCCAAAACGACGTCGTTTTGGCTCAGGTTTTACAAAGAAAAAAAGCACAGTAAGGTGTTAATTTAAAGGGAAGGGCTACTTATTGGAGAAGCTGCTTGCTCCCACCTTTTTAAAACATGAAGATGGAAACAAATGAAGGGATTTTGAAAATATAATAATTAAAATATTACCTCATTAAAAAATAAGTCAACTGATTAAGCTTTTGACCATATATAAAGCTTTTGATCAAATATATGGGGCAGTGCGTGAAAACCCAATAGAGGATATTGAGAGGACCAAACTAAAGTCTCATGCTATCCCAATAGAGAATAATTAAAATATTATCGTTTCATTTTTTTTTGTTCTATTTTGTTTATATTTTTTTTTACCTTTTAGATGTTGACCCCTACAAGGAAAATTCCTGGATCCGCCACTGCTGATTGCCCATGTTTTCCTCTTAAGGACTGGTACAATATTGGACAACCAATCAGCATAAATGGTTGGCTTGATAAAACTTGCTTTAACTAGCCTTTCCACTTCTTCTTTGACTTTTAGTTCTATCTCCATAGACATCCTTCTTCTAGCCTACTTGACTGGCAAGTATCCTTCTTTCATTGGCAACTTGTGCTCCGGCAGTCCTCTGTCCAGTCCAGGCATTTCATGGTAGTGCCCATCTTGATCAGCAACCTGTAAGGTAGAAGATTAATGGCTGCACCTCAAAGTTCATAGTGATGAACAAAGGTATGAGATGATTGGCCATTTCCTTGGTAGGTTTGGAAAAGCGTAGCTGTTCTGCGGCCAATTTCATGGCAGTAGGTATTTACTGTTCTGGTGCCTCTTCCATTTCTGCCAATCTGCACTCAAAAGTTTCTTGGGAGAGTACATCTCCTTCCAAAGTGTTCTCTTGTCCTTCTACTGCCCTGAACTTTTCTGGCAGGATAAACACCATATTAATGCCTAGATCACCTTGTAGTAGGCTTTCTAATTCTGCACCGAAAGCCTTAGTTTCTTCATCTAGTTCTCCATCGTACTCTATCCGTTTTTCTCTATATTCTTCTGTCTTGTCTTCTTGCTCACCTGTTTTGAGGAGTCCAGTCTGGTCATCTGCAGATGGTTTGTAATCCAACTACTCCTCTTCATATTCTTCAATCCAACCTTCTTGTCTTTCTACTGGAGTAGGTCCGAATTGACTTTGTGATTGTGAAGGTTCTAACTGATCTAGAACCTCTGTCTTTGTCAACTCCTCTAGTTGATATGTTGTATGTTCTACCTAAGAATCTACTTCTAGATTTTTCTCTTTTCTAGCAGAACTGACCTCTAGAAGTACATGTTATTATCCTTGTTCTTGAGGAAGGTGCAGTATTGCCTTTGAACTCTTCTTTTCTATGTTCTGGTTAGCTCCAAAGTTGGTATGCTGCTCTTTCCAACAGAATATCATTTGCCTTCTATGATAGATGCCAAGAGCTTATCGTTTCCGGGCATCTTAACTGGTATCTCCTTCTTTGGCTGCTTTGTCATTTTTTTGTTGCGTTGGGCAGACCTTTGATAAGCCCTCTACCTGACTATGTCTCTAGGTGGAGCCAGAACTAGGCCCTATTGGTATGATGTTCCAATCCTGTCAAAAACACTAGCTGTGGGCTGACTTTGCCCATCCAGAGTTACCTCCAACTCACTTTCGCATTTGCACCTGCTGCACAGAACTACCCCAGCTGAAATGGTCACTTTTGGTCTCTGATTAGCCTCTCTTGTGACTCTTCTACCTATGTTAGGGCTAGCTTCTGCCGTTAGTTTGCCTATCTTTTGTTCTGGCCAATTTAAGTTGACCATGTTGACTTGAGGTTGGTTAAAAAGGTTTGTTGTCATCGAAGGAGGTTTCTCAGCTAGTTTTAGCCTTCCTGATGTTATTCCTTGTTGTATGACGTCCTTGAAAACAACACAACTATTGGTGGAGTGGTTCCAAGAGTTGTGCTATCTGCAATACTGTCTGCCCTCGAGTTCCTCTGGCTTGGGCAGCCTGTGAGGTGTTTCTATTGCCTTCTGCAGTAACATCTCATCAAATAGAGCATCAACCTTAGTCAAGTCGAAGGAATAAACTTTGTTATGTGCTGGTTTGTTTGAAACAAACCCTCCTGTAAATGGTGGTGGCTTCTGGTCCTTTGGTGGCTTTGTCAGAGCCACTGATGGGATATTTTAATTTTGCCATTTTCGCCAATGCAACTTCCCTTTCCTCCGAGCTTTCTGTGCCTTCTTCTGACTCCACTTCGACCAGATGTATTGAAGAAGATGGAGTTTTGTAATATGTGCCTTTTGCGGAGTTCCTTTTCTGTTGTTCTTCCCTGAGCAGCTCCTCGTATTTACATGTTTTGTTTGCCAGTTCTGCCAGTTGTTCCATAGGGATTCAGCATTTCATTTTGAGCTTTCTGAACCTGGTTATGAAGTCTTGGGCAGGCTCATCTTCACTTTGTTTGAGGGCAACAAGATCACTGATGGTGACTTCTGGTTGAATCCTGAAATAATAGTCGTGGAAGACATTTTCCATATGTTCCCAAGTTTGAACAGAATTGGCTAGTAAGCTAGTATACCAAGTGAAGGCTTGTCCAGAGAGAGAATTTCCAAAAAGCCTTAGTTTTAGTAGAGGATTATTTTCTATGGCTATGCACTGGACAGAGAATCTGCCTATATGCTCAACTGATGAAGCATGGGTGTCCTCTTCGTTGAACAAGGTGAAGTTTGGTACCTTAAAGCCCACGGATAGAGGTATTTGACCAATATAAGCTAGATATGGCTTTCTGTAGATGGGCCTTTCTCCTCTTCTGGCCTCAGGTTCCATCATTTCTCTTATCATCCTCTGTAGTGCTCCCATGTCATTCAAGGCATTGACAGGATGCAGATTTCGCCCTTGTTCTGGCTGGTTGTGTTCAATCCTCTGTTCCACTCTGTATGGCCTAGGCAGAACTTCCTCTCTATGTTCTTCCTCTTCTTCAAAATCTGGATGATTCCTCTAGTTTGCCCCGGTCTGTTCCTGTCATTGTTAACAAAAGGGTTGATTCCCCTTCTACCTCTCATGCCACTTACTAGGGGAGGGAATGGATTGGGATCCATCCTTCTAGGTCTGTAGGGCAACACAATTGGTTGCTCAAGCAGAAGTACCAAGGGCTAATCGCGTGGGACCACTGGTCATGAAATAAGTGGAGGTTCTGGCTGGTTTTGGGGGGCCTGAATTGGTGCAGGGCCTTCTAAAAGAATTAGAGCCTCGTGTTCTTGGACGAGAAGGGCTCCTCCCCTTTGTGTAGCTTGGATTTCTCCATGTCCTAGCATTCCAGCTATCTGTCCGATGAAAGGATTCTCATGGTATGGCCATGCCAGTCCTGGTGGAGGCCGAAAAGGGAGATCCAGCTGCTGGACCACAACATCTGGGTTTGGATTCCTAGCAATAGTAGCCTCACGGTCCTTCCTGAACTGCTTGTTGACTTACCACTGCATCATGGCTGTTATGTTATTTAGAGTATCCTGACTCCTTTGTGTTGTGGCCTCTTGCCCGAGCACAGCCTCCTGTATCTGGTTTAACCTTCTAGAACCATACCTGGAATGTCTACTCTTGGTACTACCATGGGCTGAGTGCCTAGCATCACTTTCTTCTGATTCAAGTCCCTCTTGGAGAGCTGCTTAGTCTCTTTCCATGACACAACATGGATTCTGGCTAGAACTTCCAAAATTCATATACCAGAAGATTTTTCTAGGAGTATTTGTACTGAGAAGTCCCACCGGGCGTGCCAAATTGTTCACCCGTTTTGATTTTAATCATATAATGGCAGGGTAAAGTTCCCCATTGACTTGACAACCATTAGTGGCCAACAAGTCAACTTTCTTATGTGTATGAACATGCCACTACTAGCAATGAAAACCCTAGCAGACTTCTAAAAATAGATAACCTACGCCTCAAGTTATTGATTTCTAAACAAGCAATTGTCAATTTGGGTGAGGAATATCTCCCAAGTAAGTTCTTTTCTTTGCCTCAGACTGGTGAAGACTTCATAATTTTTCACAGTACAAAATGGGTAGTTCTGGCCAGAATAGACAAGAAGAAGACAAATTGTTTTAGGTAGAACTGCCTGTCACAGGACTCAAAAACAAAATGACAACTTCGAAGCAAGACAAAGGCTGTTCGACATTCGATTTCTACCTGGATAACTGCCTCTGAACCGGGCTGGATTGGATGTGTCTGTGCTGGACTGGATTGTCAACACCTTCAACTGATGAGTTTCAGCTGGAAATCGATACCAACGTTTGAGTTTGGTAGAGCTTCAATTTATTTCGGGCCATGGAAGGCTTGCTGAATGGGTAGAATTGAGGCCTCTTCAGTCTAGAGAGGGCAAAAGTGGCTGGATTGATGATCATTGAGCTGGAGCTGTGCAATGGAGCCTGTTCTGCTTGACCAAGGCTTTTTGTAAATTTGTTGAGGTTTTTATATTTGTAAAGAAACCTGGACTCTGCTTGACTTGGCTTTGTACTGAACCAAATTTATAACGAGAGAAATCTCGCTTTGTAAAACTATTTTTCTGAACTGAACTGAAATCAGAAATTTGAATTCTAGCTAACTTGTTTCTTGTGGCTCAATGAGCTTGGGTTGCTTCAGTGTTTGAAGGCTTTTGAGATCAATGAATCTTTTGAGTTTGTCAATTGTGATTTTGAGAGTTTTTGTCTTGATTGATTTTTTTTGGCTGTCATTTGATCTGTTCACCTCCTTTCATATATAGAAAATGCTAGAGTGGGGGTTTTTAATCTTTAAATAATGGGCGGAAAATATTTTCAAAAGATCTTTCTTTCTAAATGCAATAAAAAAAGGGAAGTTATCTATTATGGCAGAAAAGCTATCAACAGTCAGTTCTTATGGTGATCATATCCCTGCTTTTCCTGAAAGAAAACCTAATCCCTTCTTACTCTTGAACCACCCCTTGTAAGAATGAAATCTGCCATGATGGTTAGTTTGCTTTTCCTAATGAACAACTCCTTGCTCCCTACTTATCTCTTTAGATGCCTTCCTTTTATACCTGCCTTCATTAACCCTTTGTCAACTCCTCTGTGATAGTTGAAAATTTTGATTTTTTCAAAGTTAGGCAGTCACGTGGGGCTTTTCTGGGAAAATATTCTTTTAGTTAGAGAAGATCTACTGACTTGCTTTTGAGATTAAGTGGCGAGATTTCTTCAGAAGCTGGGTTTAATCCAATTTCTTGGAGGTTTTGACATGCTTGTTGATGGATTGCCATCTAATTGGCAATTTTATTGATTTATCTATTCATTTTTTGTGTTCTTAAACCTCTATCGTTTTTTTTTGGAAAAAGACGTGGGCCTTCAATGTTGATTGGGCTGCTTCCCTTTTCTTCAAAGCCCAAGACTGTTCATTTATCATAGTTTTGACAAATTATGGGATGGGCTCGCAGAATTTCAAGAAATTAGTCTGGGCTTTCTCGATTTTTGGTTGCTCTTCAGTTTCTTTTAAACATCAAGCCCAAGCTGTTATCATGTTTGTGGGCTGCATAAATAGGCTACGCTTCGCAGAATTTAGGCCCAAACACTACAAACTTGTATCGACGCGCTCTATGCAACGATGCTACTCAAATCCCCTAATTCTTTCCTGAAACAATTGATAAAGACACACAAATGCAAATTAAAAAGAGAAAGAATATTTGAAACTAGTTTTATTAAGAATAATTTCTGTTGTGAGATGTCTTGCTAAAAGGAGTTTAGCTTTTCATGGAGAGAATGAGAAAATTTACCGCGATAACAATGGTAACTTTTTGGGGCTGCTTGAATTGATTACAGAATTTGATTTGGTAATGAAAGAGCATTTTAGACGTATTCAAAGTAATGAGATTCATTATCACTATCTTAGCCATAAAATTCAAAGTGAATTGATTGGTATGCTAGGCTCTAAAGTTAGAAGTGCTGTAACTGAAAAAATCATAGAGGCAAAATATTTTTCCGTTATACTTGATTGTACTCCATATGCAAGTCACCATGAGCAAATGACTTTAATAATTTGATGTGCACATGTGTCAAATGTTCCAATAAAGGTAGAAGAGTTTTTTTTAGAGTTCTTGATAGTGAATGATACATCTGGATTTAGGCTTTTTAATGAGTTACAAGCTGTATTACAGTCTCTTAAACTTGATATTAATAATGTAAGGGGCCAAGGTTATGGTAATGGATCTAACATGGAGGGGAAAAACAGTGGTGTGCAAAAGAGGCTTCTTGAAATAAATCCTAGGGCGTTTTATATGCCATGTGCTTGTCATTCTCTTAGTTTAACAGTTTGTGATATGGAAAACTCAAGTGTTAAAGCTGTGTCATTTTTTGGAGTTGTGCAACGCTTGTATACTCTATTTGCTAGTTCTACAAAGAGAAGAAATTTTTTTCAAGATCATGTCATGGATTAACTCTTAAATCATTGTCAACAACAAGATTGGAAAGTGATATTAATAGTGTTAGAGCCATACTAACCCAAATTGATGATATAAGAGAAACTTTGTTTAAATTGTCTAGAGTTAGTGAAGATGCCAAAACAGAGAGTGAGGCTGAATCTTTAGCAACACATGAACTTGAAAGTTTTGAATTTTTGGTAAGCATGACTATATGGAATAACATTTTGAAAAAAATTGACTTAGTTAGCCAAAAATTGCAATATGGAGATATGCAAATTGATGCTGCAATAAAAAATTTGAAGGGGCTTGTTTCTTATTTTGAAGACTATAGACAAAATGGGTTTACATTTGCCTTACTTTTTGCTAAAGATATTGCATCTAAGATGGAAACTAACCCAGTATTTCATGAAAAACGTCAAAGTCATAGGAGAAAACAATTTGATGAAAATGATCATGAAGAGACTTTTTAATATGCTGAAGAATCTTTTAGGGTTAATTATTTTCTGGTTGTGGTTGATGCTGCTATTTCTTCTTTGAGGTGTAGATTTGAACAATTAGAAATATTTGAAGGTATTTTTGGTTTTTTGTTGAATCCTAAAAAGTTACTTGTAATGAATTATCAAATGTTGCATGAATGTTGTGTTAATCTTGAAAATGCTTTAACACATGGCAATGAATATGATATTAATGCTGATGATTTGTGTTCTGAATTGGAAGTTTTACAATTTTATTTACCACAAGAGGCAAAGACAGCCATCAAGTTCTTGATTATGTAAAATCTGTAGATTGTTTTCCAAATGTCTCGGTTGCTTATAGAATTATATTGATTGTCCCAGTGACTGTGGTATCTGCAGAAAAAAGTTTTTCAAAATTAAAATTAATAAAATCTTTCTTGCGTTCAACTATGTCACAAGAAAGGTTGAATGGATTGGGAGTCTTATGCATTGAAAAGAATATGTTGGAAAAGCTTGATTTTGAAGATGTTATTGAAGATTTTGCTTCTCAAAATGCTAGAAGATCAAGGATTTTTCAGTGATTGATTATACTTTTAATGTTATTGTTTTTATTTTTGGATTGTAAATAGTGCAGTGGAAATCAACAGCTATTTGTGTATTTGATAAAAGGAAAGCATCGGATATTTGCACATTGTAATGGGGTGGATCTCTTACTGGCTACCTATTTAGGAGGAAGTTGGCTCCAGGCAAATTTTGGACCCTTCCAAATTTGCTGCAACAATTTCATATGTTGTTTTCAAAGCTGCTTTTGTGATCCAGATTATACATAGACAATGACTTTGCTGTTAAGAGACTTAGACTCTACTTTATAATTGAAAAAGTAGGATTATGCTCTATAATTGTTTATCGTAATGTATGCTAAGTTACTGATTGTAGTTTCTTTTAGTTGAAGACATTTATGAGTTACTTTTAGTGGGCGTTTTGTGTCCTACTTTCTTTATTTTCAGTTTTATGTCTTCAAAAATATGTATGTTGTTACTTATTGTAGTTTCTTCGTCCATTTGTGCTACCATTTGTTACTTTCATTATGTTGTATGATTATTTCTGCATACCACAAAGAGGATTTTGCTAAACTCATGCGATGAAGCTTGAAGCCAGAAGCCAATCTTAAGGGAAAAGGTTTAGTATTTTGAACAAATACTTAGTTTTAAAGTATCTTTTGAGAATACAAATTACCAATATCAGGGACATGTTCCCATTATTGGTTGATGTGGTTTGTAAATTTGTAATTTCCTTCATGATATTAAATATCTAATCTGAATTTTTTTTACGGATATATGTCCTATTATAATGCATACTACCTTTTTTATTCACGCACTCTACGCTCTACTTAAAATCATTACAAATTTATAAATAAACCCAATTCTAGACATGTATTTATAAAAAAACCCAAACACTATTTAAACATAGAAACACACCCAAAATCAACCCCAAAATCAACAATTGTATATTTTTTGGGTGTGTTTATCAATGGATTTTGAGTGTGTGTAATGATGGGTTTTGGGTGTGTTTATAAAGTGTTTTGGGTGTTGGGTTTTTTTATAATTTC